GGGTAAGCTATTAAAGCTCTTGTACTCTGATTTATTATTCCTCATGATTTCAAAAAAGAGCTATCTGGGAAAATGCCTTTCTTCTTCTCAGCCCCTGAAAAAAGAATACCACTTTATAGAACTTTTTCTGGACGTTTCCCCCCACTGATTGATAGCAGTTACTCTTTATCCCTCCATGGCCTAGGATGCTGCGTGATCTTTGAGACTGTGGAAGAGGCAAAACTGTAGCCAGGTTGCCAACACGGTTGCTGCTGCTGCCGCTGCCATCATTTGCAATGGTAGCAAAATAAAATAACCGTTGTGGGAGAGGGGGTTGTTACAGATAACAGCAGGTCAAGTCCCCCAACCAACACCATGCGCATTTGTGCCATCTTAGATAAAATACATTGTAGGCCGGCCTAGAGACAGTTGGTCAGAATCTCTATACTAAACTGCAGATAGAAGGATTGTGTTGCTTTCCCAAGCCAGTAGCTTTTGAGCTAAAAAAAACACCTCAAGTTGTGAGCCTCAGTAACCAAACAAGTGCATTCTTCCTCTAAGATTGGAGACATTTATCTGCACCCACACCTTAATTTCTGGCATTTAGTGCTACCTGGTCTTCATTTGTACCAGGGAAGCAAGCTGAAGTGCAGTTTCCAGGAGAAAGGGAAAAGGGAGCACTCAAGGATTGTGTTCAGAGCTTGTCAGGGAGGTGGGTGTCAGTGATGAAACACCCCTTTTTCATGGGATGTTATGGTGTATCCATATTTGAATATCCCAAATCCTCAAATTGTTTTGAAGTCTTTCAATGCCTATCTTATTGGTTTTGGTTTTTTTAAGACAATTTAAATTAAAATACATTCATTTTAAAGTATGAGGAGCATTTCAACTTAATCGCAGACTCAGAAACTTAAGCTCTTGTTAGGGACAAGGACATAACAGACAGAGGTCCTGAAAAAGACAATGCAGTGAGAAGCTATTTTCTTTTTTTCCACATTTCTCAGCTGGAGGTGTTGGGGTCAGGCTGCGATCTCACCACGAAGCACTTTATCACGGAGAGGTGCTGTTCCTTAGGGACTATACCTGTTAAGGAGCATTAAAGACAACGCAGCAAGGGTCTTAAAACCTTGACTACTTGCCATCTCTCACTGGAAAAATAATGTTAAGCTTTATGCCCCCAAGTTTGGATGAGGAACAAAAAAATTATCTTTCACATTTTCAGCTGGTTCCATGAAAAGGATCGAAAGGTTGAATCATCTGGGTTTCCTTCTGTGTACATTTTCTGAATATTTCCCTGTGGTTCTCTCTGCATAGGATAGGGTGTAACCAATGAAAATGTATCAAACTATTCTAAAATAATCGGTGTTCTCAGTGGAGTTTTGTATGGCAACAAACAGAGGTAGTGAATTGACGCATCGTGAGGTCTTCTCTATGAATGTGGCAATTCTCTTAGTGCAGGTTGACAGATGGTGACATTCTCGAGGCTTTCCTTTCTCACTTGTCAGTATTAGGACTCCTGGTTCTTTCCTGTCACTCACGTGATATGCCCTACCAAAGTTTAATATGACAGAGTTATTTGCTTTATCACTGCAGAGTGCAATCTCTCCTGACAATCAAATCAGACAGAGAAATTTAACCGAATCTGAGCACGTTCCATCTGTCAGAACTCTGAGGTAAAGTGTCATGGCATATGCTGAAGCAGAGAAGAAAAGTTACTCATTCTTTCACATTACATTTATGAAAGAAAACGGTGAAGTATGTTACTGCTGTCTCAAAATTATTTTAAAAATGAAAGCACATTTGGCACACTCATCTGACAAGGTCAAACGTTCTTTGAGAGAAGAGGGGAAACAGCTGTGTGCTGATAGATGCAGCAAACCATGGCATGACCAAGTGATAGCCTGCATCTCACAGTGAATTCTTGATTGCTAAAATATGTGGATAACATTTCAGCTGCTTAAGCTTCCCTGACCTTTTTGATAGTACAAATAATGTTGTTACTAGTCTAAGCTGAAGCTGAAGCTATATGCCTCTCTTATCTCAGTGCTGTGTTGTACCTTGGCTGAATGGATGAACCTGGAGAGCCTTGATTCAAATCTCACCTGAGGGGCTGGCTCCAAGCCAAGCTACAGCTCTGTCAGCCTCAGGCCCCAACTAGCCCATTTTTCACAGTTGCTGTAAGATTGCAAAGGGAACGTGTATAAAATGCTTCGGATGCTTGAAATACACTCTCTAAATGCTATGTGTGGCTATTGCTAGCCAGAGAGAAAGGACACATGGGAGAGTGCTGGTCCCTTGCGCTGCACCCACTCTCCAAGAAGAGGAGCTAGCCCAGAGTGTGAACAATCATCAGGAGTCAGGGAATACGGGCAAGGTCACGAGGTGTGTTCTCCCCATAATGTCCATGATGGAGTGCTCACCATCAGCAATCATGAAGAGGCTTTGCCTCCACTGCGGTAATGTCTCCAATGGCAATGTTGGGCTTTTCCTTATAAGAACAAATGTATGAGGGGGCAAGGAAAGTGTGCGCTCTTGGGGACACTTGTTACAAACTAAACCTGCTTCTGACTGCATAATTCCAACACTGGATTGTGCTTCATGCTTATGTTAGAACACACTTGAAATTATGGGGAAGTGGGATGGAATATTAGAAGCTAACTTTCATTTTCATACAAGCAAGTTGCAGCACTGCAGGGCTTTGCCTTAGGACTGGCATTCCTATCTATCATTTGTACTCTACTGTAGGTTGAAGAGCCTCACATCTGCTTGGAATCTAAGCATGCAGGTAGGAGGGCTTAACCCTTCCTTCTTTCCAGTATGTACCTGATTCAGACTGGGTTTTCCTTGCTTGCCCTTTCTTTTAAAAATAGCCTAGCTGTCTCCAAATTGCTCCATCACTTGAGATCCACTGATAGATAGAAGGTAGAAGGAATGAGTTGATTAGATTTCTGTAAATATTTTGTTAACAGTTTTTGGTTCCATGTGCTGCAATGATTCCTGTCTGACCTCATTCTGAGACTGGCACTGAAATTCTAGGCAACAGCTTAGGATGGTTTGCCAACAAGAAATAATACATCCCAAGAGCTGCAGATTATGAATGTGGCTTTTACTGCTCATATCATAGTCTCTGCTTATAGTATGGACCATGGGGTAGGACACCATTAAGATTATAAGGCCTCACATCTGGCTTGTGTACTCACCAAGTTCCATTTAGTTGCATTGCTCAGATTGACTGATTTTTATGTTACCTCTCATCTTGTAATACAAAGTGGTTTACGTAGGTTAGTCTCTCTCTCTCTCTCTCTCTCTCTTTCTCACTCTGTGACCCTTCAGTTTTAGGCCAATATGTACTTAGATGTTAAAGGACAAGCAAAGAAAAGAGGGTGCTTGTCAGCATAACACAGACTGTGCACAAAGAGAATAAGAAATAACGAGAATTCATTCATCAAGGGAAGGATTAAGCCAAGATAGAAAGGAAGTTAGGTTGTATGATAATCTTAAAAATACTTAATGCTTTTTCCACATATCACCAGGCATTCTGTTTTCAATAGAAGCTGTGAGACTCAGGATTGTAAGAATTCCTTTGTTCTGATCATTGGCGTTTTTAACTGGATTTGAGGGATAGGTAGAATCCAGAGAAAAGAAATTTGTTCTGCTGTTGTAATAAAAACAAGTTTCAAATTATAATCTTCAGGGAGTGAGGGGAAGTATCCAAAAGGAAGTATAAACATTGTTTTTAATATAGCAGAATCTGGATATCTCTTGTTGTAGGATTTAGGAGATGCATGACTGAATATTGCTATAGCTTCCATGATATTTCTTATGTTGTTATCACTCAGCTATTGCTATACTTGTTAATGAATCCCATCAAATGGCAGATTAATAAGAAAAATGTTCAAAATAATAAGTCAAATTTCAACTCATGTGATCAAACCTATTAGCACAGATCTTTAATACAAGTATAAATTTTTCTAGGAGGGAACTTGAGCAAAATCAAAGTTGGCAGACTTCGTTGATTTTTCCCTTACTTCATAAAACAAGGGAAAGGAGAACATGAGGGGGGAGGGGGTATGTTCCTTGAACTGGATGGATTTCTCAGTTGCAGTGTCTCTGCTGTATATTTGAGAATTCTGCTACATCTGTAAAATCTGTACTGGTGAAGGTCACCATAATCAGGACATTTTACATGTTTATATAATGATGAATATTCAAACAAAGCTCTCTTTAGCATTGCAATATACCCGTGTTGCCCCTACCCATGTCTTCGCTGAAGACCCGTGGACACATGAGTAGTGGGCTACACAAATGAAGCTTTGGCTCACAGTGAAACTGATATAAGTGTGCTCAAACAACCCCTGCTTTGTAGAGTTTTAAGAATCACCTAATTGTATCTTTTATTTAGATTATAGAATCTGAGATCATCACGTCTGCAGGAATCCCACAACAAGTGCATTCTTAACCGATGTAATATACATCACAAACCTGCCTTTGTGTACTAGCCATGTGTAATAGTTTAGGTGGAATCCATTAGGCGCAGAACTCTAAATTGAGCAGAGGTCGTAACTGCATTCATCCGACCTGCTGTGCCCTCACCATGACTTGCTCTTACCTGTTCATAGCTCTAAGTTGCAAACCATTTGCTTTTCACTGTTTGTGGATGTATTGCTTTTCTCACCTTGACAATGTATTTTGACCGTATTCCGTTGTTGCATCCTCTAAGTGTGGGATAAAGTAATCAGTTGATTTAATTCAACACTTCTGTCACACTCTTCATCTCAAAGGCTATCAAGGTGGCTTATGTTTTGTAAGAGAGTATGTTAATTCTGTCTAGACTTTGTTCCCATCTCTCCTTTTGATGCTGAAAGTGTTGCATGAAAATATAACTGATATGCCATGAATGTTGCCTATATTTTGAGAGGTTATCTCACTGAGCTAAGAAAATGCTATATGTATATTTCAACAGACATATGATTACACTTAAGGGGCAAGTGCAGATGCATATTTAAATCTCTGTGTTTTAGGCCTGATGGAATTGGAACAGTAACAGCTGAAGAGAAAGAAAGGTTTGAAGACATTAAGGAAAGACTTTCTTCCCTTTTAGAAAACCAGATAAGTCACTTTAGGTGAGTGTTTGCGTTCTGCAAGTTTGATATGCTGGCAGTATGAGGAAGCAAAGGATGTAATGCTATGATGTAAAGGTTACTGTGATATTATATGGAGCCACATTGTTTTTACTGTGGCCTTTGGAGAGAAATATTACACTCACAGATTGTGCGTTTCCTTGCTTTAGTTAGGTAATAACTACTTAACACTGCAAGCCACATGTGATTCTATGTCAAACCATGTCAAATCAGCATGAGTAGCACAGAGTAAAATAATAGAGCACAGACCACACTCATTAGGTCGTACTGCCTTCTAGAAAAACCTTCCATATCTGTAGCACTGTAGCTTTAATATTTATCTATGGTTGCTTATCTCTGATGAAGGTGGAAAGAAATTGTTTATGCTGGGCTATTCTTGGCTTATTCTGCCAATGTGTGCAGGGATGCTAACCATTTGAGGGACTCGGGTCCAGCATTTTCTTTGTACAGTGGCCAATTAGCTGCCCATGGGGAATGACAAGCAGGACAAGAGTGTAGCAGCACCCTTCCACCCAAGTTCCCTAGGAACTGGTACACATAGGTATACTGCCTCTGGTACTGAAGGTAGCATAGAGGAATCAAGAGAAGTAGACATTGATTGCTTTCTTCTTGAATTTGTCCACTCCTCTTTTAAAGCTGACTGAATTGGTTGCTATCACTGCATGTTGTGCTAGTGAATCCCATTGTTTAACTATGTGCTGCTTTCTGGGATGCCCCCAGGTTCGAGTATTATGAGAGAGGGACATAAATGTCTCCCTGTCCCCTTTCTACAAATTCTCCTGCTTCTGAAATCTTTAAAGAATTATTTATTGTTGTCTTTGATGATAACTGCGTCTTCTAACATCTTTTATTGTTTCCTTGGATCTTTTGTACGCAAGCTTGTACTGTCTTTTATTTCCTTCCTTTGGCCAAGACTGCCATTTTCTGAAGAAAAAAGGCCTCCTTGACACTGCTTGTGTTAACCATGCAAGTGACCTCTTGGACCTGTTGCTGCCTTTCCTACCCTGTGCTATACATTCTAGCTGAACTTCTGTTAATGTGGGTTGAGTAACCTCCAAGCATTTTGAGGGGATTTAATCCTTTTGACTTCCCCTTTCAACTTCCTGTTTGCCAGTTCCCTCATTTTAAAGAAACTTCCTGTCTTGAAGTCAAAGGTGACTGTGTTGGACTTCCTGAGCATTTTCCATTTAAATCTCATAGCTCTATGTTCAGTTTCCATTTGGTTCCACAAGATGTACACCAAGTTCACCAGTTTGTTGTGACTGGAACATGCATTTATCCAGTTGATGTGGAGGTAATTGATGGCAGACATTGTTACAACACTTCATTTTCAAGATCTCCCTGAATTTGTCTTGCATCTCAAGATCACTCTGAGCATTCTGGTTGAGGGGACAATAGCACATTCCTATTACTAAATTAGTTTTGGAGCCTGGTATTATTGCACCCAGCACTTCTGCACCTTTTGGTGCTCTGCTGTGCTGTACATGATACCTCCTCTGTCATACAGAGCAACACAGCAACCTGTCTCTAGGGGAGATTTGGTATAACAATAGAGCTATTTTTATGGAAAGGCAGGCAGAAGAGTTTCATTGCTTACTTTATTTTCCTCTCTGTTGCCCTGCCCCTGCTTTTCACATGCTTCCAAAGAAATACAGGTTGTGTGCATGTGCTGGACATCCTGGCATGCCATTGCAAAATAAGAAAGAATAGCCCCCATGGCTCACTATATTTGAAATGATCCCCTTGTACTGAAAAATGGCTTTGTTAGCAAGGGAAATGTTTTCCCTCAGAGGCAAAAAACAGTAGATGACAAGGTATTATCTGTAAAGACACAGAGCAGAATAGATAGTTGTTTACCTGCTGGTCCTAATTTTGTTTAACCAAGATTCTGACATGAATTGCAAGCATTCATGTGCAATGCTGTTGAACCACTGTACAATTAGTCCTCTAATTTGGAGCAACTATGCCTGTAGAGTGACCACTAGTCTTCCCCTGACCCCACCAACCCATACATGACTAAAGCAGATGCTCAACTTATTTTTTTTTTTGAATAACAAAAATCCTATTTGTGTTTTACTTAATCATCTGGAACCCAGGATTACAGCTCCCTGTTTTAATATGTCTCCTGGTTCTACAGCAGAACATGTCGCTTCACTCTCCTCATTCTAGCTGGCAAGAAAGTCTTGTCCCTGTTTTTAAGAAACTGACATTTATTCAGTGTTGAAAGTTCTTCAGCATAATTAGTTTGTTTTATTAACTAAATAAAACAGGCCAAATCCAGAAAGTGAAGGGCTTGGCAAACCTCCAAGGCATCAACAGAGCCCTCTGGCAAAGCTAAGGATAAAACATCAGAATAGGTCAGGTTTTGAACGGACTGAAACTACTGCTACCACGGAACATGCTGAACGCAAATGTCCTCTTATGTGCAAGAAAACAAAGCTTAAAGAAATGTTATGAGTTCCACCTTGCTCCTAGGAAACTCTTCCGCCCTCTTGTGACACTTTGCCAACAAGGCTCTCGGGATTCATCCAGAGCTGTGAATTAACTCTGCATCCGGAATGACCCTTTCTGTTCATCTGTCTTAAAAACTGTATGAACAAATTGACCCTAACCTTGCCGGCTATTTGGTGTGATTCCCTGTCAGCATTATTTCAACACTACACACTTCCACCATTTTAACCTTTATGTAAGTTCTCAGGGCAGTGTACAGCTATTAAAACTTGTTAGATAATTAAAACAAGTATGCTAGCCTCCCAAAGCATGGGAGTCAAGCTTTCTATGGCCGTGCCTGGACATATTCCATCCACAGTTTCTCCTAGGAAGCTAGTTATCATAGTTCACTTCAATGTTTGGTTTGGTAAAATTCACCCAGCTAGGTTGTTGCAGTTGAAAGCTTACTCAGGTGTATTTCCTGATGTTAAAAAATGGTTTGTAATTAACACCACACTGCGAGAAACATTCATTCTTATCTACAATCATCGCCATTTTTTATACATTATATTATTTGTATCATGGCTACACATTCTTTTTTGGTCCCATTGATTGCACTGTGTGACAAAGTCTAGAGCTGACCAGGAATGAAAAGGAATTGTGTAAATTAAGCATTAAATACATGGACATATTTCGGTCAACTTCTGGACAAAATTAAGTAGAATTATTTACATAAGCTGGATAACAAGGGACTGGAAGAGTCAGCTGCAACCCACTATAACATCAGCATTTAGGAAAAGAAATGGAAGTTTCTCCTGAGTTATTGTGACAATGCTGGAAGCCCATAATAGAAACAGAAATGTCATGTTTCTGTTTCTCCAAGGTTAACTGTGCAGTTATTTATTGCAATAGTAGTAGTAGCCGTAGTAGTATCTCCTTCATCATCCTATAGAATAGTTCTTAGCAAACATTAATTATTTTAAATAATGTAGGAGTAAACACTTAGACTGCCTCCTAATTACAGAAATCTTGATTAATTAAATAGACTTCAGTTAAAGTGCCATGTGAATAAAAGTTGTAGCATCAAAAGAAAGACGTTTTCCTTGTTTTAGATAATGTGCATGTGCCGTATCAAACAACATCTGAAAGAAATGTTTTCTCCTGCGTGAGATATAGGGGAATGCTTCTTCTGAGAGAGTACCTGATATTTGCAGTTGTTGTTTTATCAGTACTTGCACTAAGAATAATAGTGTTTGTTTATTCAAGCCATCCCTAACTTGCTACCCTCCAGATCTGCTAAACTAGAACTCCCATCATCTCCAGCCAGCCTCATTTAATCTACTCTCTGATTGTTGGTACCCCTGACTATTCCAGGTTTTCAGGTGATCAGTCTGGTTGATTGTCCAATTAAATATTGTAGCTTATTTTTGCAAACCGCTGTTTCTAGTTGCCTCTCTTCAAAATATAGCTAAAGTGTTAAATACAGCAAATGTTATATCTACACTTCTAATAGATTGTTGCTTTGGCCTTCTCTAAGGTACTGCTTTCCTTTTGGGCGTCCTGAAGGAGCTTTAAAAGCAACACTTTCATTACTTGAAAGGGTATGTCTTAAGTTTTTCTCTTTTGGGGGGGTGGGGGGGTGGGGAAGTTTTTCCCACCTGCTCTATGTGTCTTAGAAACGAACTAGGTGTGTAAGGAATCCAAGGGGGGGTGGGGAGCTGTCAACTCTGCATTGGCACTGACTTGGTTTGACACATGCTGAGCCAGCATGTACACTTCTGTTTTTTAATACAAATCACACTTGCTTAATTCAGGTTTTTTTTAAGCTAGGGAAATGTACACAATATTTGGACATCTGCTTTGTAATTTATGCAAATTTGTGCAAACAACAGAGTTGGTACCCTAATTTTGCAGTGATCTGAAATTAACAGTCTGAAAATCCAAGGTAGGCAAGATAGAGCAAGTCCATATGCCATTTATTTTATTTCATTTTATTTATTAGATTTATATCCCACTTTTTTCCAATGAAATCAGACCAGCTTACATAATTCGTCTCCTCCTGCTTTCAATCTTATCCCCACAGCAACAGCCCTGTGAGGTAGGTGGAGCTGTGACTGGCCCAAAGTTACCCAGTTGACTCCATGGCTGAGCAGGGACTAGAACCCAGTTCACCTGAGTCTCAGTCCTGCGCTTTTAACCACCCCACCACATCGACTTTCATACAGGTTTTTGTATTAAATCTTGCAGCAAGAACAACAACCAAAAAAATAACAACTCGAATCTAATGAGTTATCCCAGTGGCAATTTCTGTAATTGCAATTCTATGCTCCAAATTTGCCCTAATATTTTAAGCAATTTCATGGAAGCTGAAAATGAACCCTGATTTGACCTGTTTGAGACTTCAGGGTGGAAGTGTGACAAAAGTCAGTGGAGCCCAAACAGAAAGAGTTTTCCAGTGTTGCACATCTTTAGCCAAAGCATATTCTTTGCTTTAAGCAAGCCCCTGTGGCATTTTGTGAGTTGCGGTGAGTACAATATGCAATTTGCTTTATCATATCAACCAAATTGGGACAATAGGGCATGTTGGACAGTAAAATAATCCTATAACAGCCCATAAGTTTAAGTCATGTTGGCTTGCTTTGCTGATACAACCTGGGTCACTGTATTTTTTAAAATGCATTTTTCTGGGTATATGGCAGAGACATATTTTATATTTTGCAGTAAAATAGAGCAGGGGGGTTGGAAAGAATAAGCTAGGTTGCCATTTATAGTAGATAAAAGAGATAAATATGTTGAGTTTGTCCTTCTGAAAAAGAATGGAAACAGAGATGGAATCTGGAGTTGTCATCATTTTTACTATAAGAATATAACATTGATTAGTATTTCAGCAGTTTTCAAAGAGGCATTGTGTTCATCACATGGTTGTTCAAAAGATATTGACAATATATTTTTATTATCTCTTTGCTTGAATACTGACTATTTTACCTGCTGTATATGTGATCACTTGTTAATCATTATCAACGTACTTTCTGCAAGTATGCAATGTAATTGTTTCCAGTCTTTTGATTTATTCATTTGTTATCTTCACTTGAAGGACTTTCCCCTTCCCCTTTCCCACACATATTTTATACACAAACAATGAGGTCAAGTTTGTATTTAAATATTTTTATAATATACTCCAATATGGCTGCATGTAACCCTTTAAACTCAAGAGTATTACAGCATATTACTGAGGACAGAAGGGTTGGCTGGATGCTTCATTTCCCTTCCACAAGGCATAGATGGCAAATTTTGGCTAAGTCTTCTGTGCTTGCTCATGGAAAGCCTAGGCTGCAGGATCACTGGGATGCACTGTCTCCCAGCAGAGCCTCACGTCTTCCCCTCTGACCCCCCTCAGCACCAGCTCCAGGATTGGTCTTGCTGCCTCAGAGCTGTAGCTGGCATGGAAGGAACTACACCCACTGCAGGGGAAGGGACACTGTCAATTCAGAGCCCTAACTTTGACCATGGAGGTCAGAGCTGGGACTCCAAATGTTCTTGTGGCTGGTCAGACAGTTTCTGTCGGCATAGGATTGTGCCCTAATTTTTTCTCAAACCATTCAGGTGATGGCATATTTCTGCAGAGAAATAATGTATCTTATAGCAGAATCCTGAAAATTGTCATGTGATTAAAAGGTAACCCTTAAAAACCCAAGAGGAACTCTGTTGGATAAAACCATAGATCCATCCCATCCAGTTTCCTGCTTCCCACATTGGCCAGCCAATTGCCTCCAAGGAGCCCATGAGCAGGGCCTTAAAGGGCCGCTTTTGTTGTTACTCTCCAGGATAAGACTAGCATATATTCTGCTCCTGAATAGTCATCATGACAATCTGCAAATGACAGTCCCACCCTTTATGAATCTCTCTAATCCCCTTTTAAAGACATTCCATCTGCTAGTGTGACATTAAATATGACAAGGATAGAGCAATAATGAAGGAAAACTAAAGGATTTGGTTCTTTTAAATCACGCTTCAACAAGGTAGAGAAATGTGTGTTAGGGCAACAGGGCTGTGCATGCCCAGCCACATAAAGGCTTCTACTCATGTTCAAGAGAACGTAAGTAGATGTTTCCATCAAAGTCCAGGCAAGAAGGTTGGGATCTGAATGGGTTTTGATTATTGGAGGCAACACAATAATGGAGCTTACAGCCCCATGCCCCTTATCTAGATTATGCTACTCTGTTCAAGCATAATTTAAAAGGCCCATATGCTTCAATCTTTCCTTGTAACTGGATTGGGGCATCTTCCTCAATCCATTTGGTTGCCCCTTTCTGTTTCTTTTCCCACTCATGCACAGCTCTTTGGCCATATAACAAGGCCAAACAGCTTTCAACTGTGAAAGTATCGTTCTGTCTGAAGAATTTATCAACAGATGATCTTGAAATTCAAAATTTAAAAAACACCCCGCAGAGGCATAAACCTGGCACAACTAGACATGGTCTGAGGGGCTATGGGATATTGTAGATCTGCCTCTCCAAGATCAGGGTCAGCACTCCAACCTAGGAAGGGGGGTCCGAGATCCAACCCGCCATCCCTACATACACACAGAGCCACCACAGAAAGAAACGTATCATCTTTATCTTTCAAGGTCAGAAAATTGACCTTGGAGAGAAGGAAAGGGGGCATTTCAGTGATCAAGGGAAAGAAGGACACTAGAAAGGCTGAGATATGAGCTATCTCAAGCTTCTTCTAGCCTTCTTCCCTCTCCCTTTCAAGCACTGTCATAAACTGGGCAAAAACGCCTATCTAATAAATAATGCAGAGCAGGAGGACTGAGAGACATCTTCTGCTGCATCTCCTGTCCTCCACTGGATAATTGAAAACATTCAACTTTGGGGGTGCCCAGTCACTAAGGGTGCAATAGAATGAAGAACTAAGTTTGTTACAAGAGCAAATTACTTCAGTTTTGAAAGAATGAGTTATAAATTATATTTGGTAAGCATTTGTGAAACTTTTCATTTTGCCACACTCTGCTCAAAATGCCTTCTGGCAGTGGCCTCCAGAGCATTCCTCCTAGATATGCTGGCCTGCAACTTCTGCCGTGCTGGCCGGGAATGGTGGAAAAAGTAATTCAATACACCAGGAGGTCAGCAGGCTAAGGAAGCCTGCTCCAGAGCAAAGTGCTTTTAGGTACACCATGAATGCAGCCTAACGTTTAGAGACTTCAGTCTGGAGGCATGGATTCAGTTAAAGTGGCTCTTGCACGCATGAATTAAAATTCCACCTCAGTCATGTATTCAGCTGAATGTCTGGGGAAGTTCATTTCCATCAGTCTCCCTTCTTGTCTATGAAAGTGACTTGCTACATCACATACCTCACAATGTTGATATGAGGATACAGTGAACTATAGCTTTGTGCATAGAAAGTGTCACTAAGAGCTTGCTGTGGGAATATATCAAACTGGGTGGTGCATTCAATTATTTAGCATCACTCAAATTAGACAGCATTGCTCCTTAGAGACACTCACAAGGATGAATTAGCTCCCCCCACCCCACTCTCTTCACCTGGCAAAGTTTTGCATTGGATTGCCTTCCAGGTACAACCACTTATGTTGAATTTAAGTTTATGAATGTGGGTCAGAACTCTTCAAGTGGTTTTATTCAAGCCCTGTTTACATATATTTGTCAAAACACTCTACATTAAATGTTTCGGTAGCCCCAACCATCTTTTCTAGCTTAGCTACATACAAATTAATTATTTAATTAAATAACATGAACCGCTTCAGCAATCTTCCTGTGGCACTTTAAAAATGAACAAGTTTATTGTGTCATTTTAATTAATGTATGTAGGCATGTATGTATGGCAAGGGTCTGTTTTATTTCACCTCAACTGCAAATGCATCAGCTGCATTCAGGCACCTATTGTCCTCGCCATCTCTGTTTCCCCCACCCTCTCTCTGTAATATAAGGATGATAAAGACCTGGCTTGAAAGTTGCGATAAGGATTACTGATATAATGTCTATGACATGCTTGGAACATTTTAAGTGTGGTACATCAATGCTTGTGATTTTAGTCTTGTGTTTCAGCTAGAAATAGTGCTGGGCAGCATATTTTGCTGATGAGTGAGGCTCAACTCATTATAATCCAAAGGATTATTTTCAATCATATCTTCAGAAGTGAATAAGGTAGTATATTAGAAACTCCTTTTCTTCTCAGCCTGAAAATACCAGCTGCTCATAAACAACCATTAGTATACTTCTAAACTTTTCATTTTGATGGGGATATTGTAATATAACTAACCAAACACTGTTCTTTTGGCACAGGTCTTAATGAAAGATATTGCTACTCCCATACCAGCAGAAGAGGTGAAAAAGGTGGTTAGAAAATGTCTGGAGAAAGCAGCCTTGATCAATTACACTCGACTTACAGATTATGCCAAAATAGAAGGTTAGTGCAGTAATCAGCTACTATAGTGGCTGCAAAAGCTATTGGTGCCTATTAACTGAATATATTTTGTGAGCAGCCATTTCTCTTTGCTGAGCAAAACCTGTACCACAGCAAGGGGAAATAACTCATTAAAATCTCAGCTGGTGAACTACTGGGCTTTTTCCTATTCATTGCTTTAATATACCTCCTGGGACCATGCTTGAATGAATGATCTTTGTGCTCAAGTTGTCCTTTGTCCTTTATTTTTTTAAGGGCAGTTTTACATGTCACAAAACAGCCCAGATCAGCCAGTTCTAGAAGGCACTTGTCCAGTTTTGACACTTGAACTCACTTGCACCTCACATAAAGAAGAGGCTATGGAACTGGCAGTCCAGAACAATTGATTACTGACATTACCTTGTTTCATTAGCATGGCTGTGCCGTATTTCTCAATAGATAATTGATAGATAGTACAGATCACAAAATCCATTCTAAGACCTCAGTCAGTTGACTAATGTATATGTAAAACTAAAGAAAAATGATTTCCGTTCAAGAAGAGTGGCTTTCTGTGGGGGGTTTTCCCAGTAATTTCTCGTGTGTGTAACATTTTAGACATGGCCAGACCCTAACTTCTACGTAATAGCTTGAAACTTGAATAAAAGTCATTGTGAAGGCATTTGTAATGTACAGCAAGTTGCTGTTATATGGAGCGGTATCATCATTACTGATACAAATACAATTTCATTGCAGTTGATGAATCAATAATTTTAAGGTGCTCATGAAGTAAATGGAGTAATAACATTTTTGAAAGATCTGCTATTTCTACCATCTTTATTTAACACAGAGGTTTACACAGAAGGGTGCTTCCAAATGGAAGGTGCTTAGCATTGATAGTCAAAAGGCTTTATGTGGCTATTCTGTTTTTTCCTCCTCCTGAATAGTTTCTTTTTAATCCTCATAAGAAAAAGAAAGAAGCAGTGGTGGTAAACACAAGAGGGCCACAAATTGAAAATGATGTTGTCTGGATCCGGCATAAAATTCCATAAATGAGGTGGTATAATTGCTCAATAAAAACCTTATCTGATTCAAGTTGCCCTTTTTTGGTCTGCCTCACACCAGCAATGTTCCCAAAGGATTCACCTATGGAAATATACTATATTTAATTTTAAAATAGTTTATGCGGTCATTTGAGACTTTATACTGTATATTGAATTTCCCCAGAGCTTCAGGCATGGTAATTTATTCCCCTAGTCTTCTATTCAAATGTTACAATGGACTACTCTTGCATCCCCATGCAGTATAAGGAAAAGCTGATGATAAAGCCTAGTTCTATCACTGGTAGTGGGATACCTTTGAATGTCCTACAGAGAATCAGGTGCTGATTCATGAAGAGCTGCCAGTCTCCAATTCACGTCTCATCCTCCCAAACTCCAGGTGTATCAAGATGAGCTGAGCCCTCTATTGTACAGACAATAGTGTCCAGTATGCCCAAGCCACTTAGGGGCCAATCTGCAAGTATTGCCAGACCTTCAGATCTGGGGCTGATATGAGCTGGCAGTTTGCTCAGGTAGTCTTTCTCTGCTTCCTCTTAAGGGACAAGTTGGCCAGTAAGGTATATGTCCAGTACAAGCAGCCCAATAGATTTTCCTTCTGCCTTAAGAAAGAAAATTGGGCTGGCAACAGCATGAAATGAACTCAGAGATGTGCTGCAGAAAAGTAAGGATGTAGGCATAGCCATTTGAGAAGCAGTCTGGAGCACAAGGGAAATGAAGTTGGAGCTGGACATGCATGTGGAAAGTATGGGGATCTTCGCTAATGGTACTGGGGCTCTCCCACATGTTGTGCTCAAGTACCTGTCTCCAGAGGAGGAAGAGCAGCAACAAGCACAACACAGTATTGTCTGTCTAGACATACTTGGGATGCAGTAACTCACTAATACAATAGAACCACAAGAAGATCTAAAAAATAAGCATGAAGAAACACTGCTTCCCAAATTTCTCAGATAAAGGAAGGAGCATGGTCACTTTGTATGCATGTTCACAGAGCCAAGCAATCCCTTCTTTGATGGCTTTCCGAGTAATGAGATGGGAGAGGCTGAAGTCTAACCTGAGGAGCAAGTCAAGAAACCAAAGCAAGTAACTGAAGGGAAGGGAAGAACCAGCAGAGGAGTAGCTGCCAGGAACTAATACTCAACACCTGACACATCTTTGTAACAAGCAGAAAATGGAATGAGTTTCACTGGCATGGTCTTAGTGCCACTGAAGTAGCAGAGGAGCACACATACAGTCTCTTTTCAAGGAGAAAGGCGTTTACATGAGCAGGGACAGAGAAGGATTAGTGAGCATCTCCTGGGTAGCTGGTCAACCTGGACGACATTCATCTATCAGCAAAGGTATGAGAGACTCAGACCATGTCAAAGGGCAATGAGGTTGAACTGCCCCCATTGACAGGTGGATGGATGCACTTCAAAGCTTGACAACAGCCTTGTATACAGGAGTACAAGGCCACCAAGGCAAGCTGCATGCAAGCCCTATGCCTGCATGTCACTGCAGCAATTTTTTCTCCTGCATGACCTGGTTTTCTATGCATACACCCCTCATTTGACTGCCTTTGCAATGGGCCCTACCAGCAACACCACCAGCAGCACTGGAAGATGTCTCAGGAAAGACTGCAAAATAGTCATTGCCCATCATGCTGTTTGACAGAAGAGGAAAACTAGAATGGAAAGGGGGTCAGTACACAATCACTTCTTTCTTCCTACTATACGATCCCCCAACTTCTTTCTGCTGGCTCACAGCTCTTCACCTCTTCCCTTTTAGTTGGTATCTTTAAAAAATGTATGCTGCTGCTTTGCCAGGTGTGCTTTCAAGAGCAGCTGCTGAAAGTACAATGCAACACTGATGTGGCTAGGCATTCCCAGGGTACACAGGGACCAAATGTGGGCATTTAGGATGGTCCAGTTTCATTCCGGAATCATGGATGCCTGTGGTACCAGCAGAAATGTGGTGGCTTGCAGAAAGCTTTGGATAACCTGCCAGAGCTGATGCATACAGCACCTTGGTGCAAGCGTGCATTTACACCTGTTGCAGTTTGGCACTGTGTGCATTGGGCAGTGGATTCTAATCACAATCAACTCTCTCATGCTCAGTGTTTTTTTTTTTTTTAATTAGGGATTTTTCTAAATTTATAGTTCAGTTTCTCTGCTTCTACCTTCCTTTTTGCTCAGTGCCCACCCTTGCAACCAGTACTCTGCATTTCTAACTCAAAGGCAGCTTGGCTTTTTGGGTGTCACCTGCTTGCCTACATACAGTTGCAGTGAAATGAATGCCGAACTTTGTCTATGAACTAAGTCCTGCTGTACAAGCCAGAGAGCATGTTTTTTCAGTCACAGCAGACCCTTTCCCCTCCATTTAACTTCCAGTAGTTCTGGTACTGGCTTGACTTCATACACGCCAACCATAGCAAATCAAAATAAGCAACTTGATCCAAAGTGCAGGTACCTGTGGCTCTCCTGCTTTTGCCTCAGTTCTGCTCATGTTCCCAGGAGCTGAATCAGCATTAGATGTCGCTGCTTCCACCACTGTCTTGAACTTAATGGAGTTATGGCAGTCATTGATACCCGTGATGACCAGTGCAAGGTCCCAGCACTGGGTTCCCTAATGGTCCTGCTACACCTGCATACTACAGGTGAAGGTGAGAGGGTAGAACAGGACCACACAAGGAGAGCGGTTTTTTTCAGGTCAGTACAGGAAGGTTCAGCAGTTTGCAGGGGATGCAGCTCTCTTCCTCTGTTCAACTGGCACCTTACCAGGATCCAAGAATCCAAAACAGGATCTGAAACAGAAACCTTTAAATACTCACCAGTGAGTGTAATTTTGGCCCCCAAAGGTATGGTGGCACTTCCTCTATACCTCATTCCAGATATAATCATCACTTGTGGTGTCTTGCACAATGCCTATGAGGCAAGGGAAGATGTGCTCCTTCAGGGCGATCCTAAGCATCTGAATCTAGAAGCTTGAGATATACCTCCCAGTATTTCTAAGTGGATTACGGCCAATTACTAACATGTGTGCCATCACTAAGAAGGCTTACAACTGCAGATGTTACACTTTCTGTGTTATGGTTGTGAGCCGCCCTGAGGCTTCGGAGAAGGGCGGCATAGAAGTCTCCTAAATAAATAAATAAAATACTGGTGCGGGGGGGGGGGGTAGTACAGTTGGGGTGGTAGCAGGAGAGGAGAGAGGCTGCAGTTGAAAAACTGATCAAGGTTTCAGGCTGCAAGATGGGAGTCTGTGGCCCAGTAGGTGGGCGAAGACCTGGTGGCATGAGATCAACAAGATTTGCTGGCCTGAAGCAACAAAGCAGGAGAGAAGCCTTACAAAAGCAGCATCACGAAAGGCCTGGGGAAGGCAGTGGCTTCCACCACACCAAGTGCTGCCTGGGGAGTTGGGGAGTAGAGGGGCTATGCTGCAGGAGCCACTTCAAGTCAAGGGAGTGGAGGAGTGGGAAACAGGATGAAGAAAAGATGCAGCATGGACATGGCAGTGTGGTCAGAAAAAACACAAATGAATGAGAAAAGGTTTCTTCTTTTATTAAAACTACAGGTGGGGTTGGCCGTAGTGGAGGGATGGAAGTATATCCTGACAGGAGTCAACAAAGGCAAAATGTGCCCCATACATGCAGTGAACCAATAGCAAAGGGGCCAATGAAGTGGCAAAGAACAAGAGATCATGAGATGTGGATTGCACAGCAAAGGCATCTGGGATACTGGCAGGAGCCAGCTGGAGGTCTGAGAGAAAAGAAGGGGTGGATCAAGTCACAATAAATTCAATGGTCTGTCAGATGCACCATGGGTTACTCTGTGAACAATCCACAGTACATGGCTTATTCACAAGGTGGTTTGTCATACCATGCAAAACAACCCACTGAGTGGCCTCAGGTTTTTAGAGCCTCAGGTAGGTATCTTTCCCTCCCTACCTGGAGATCTCGGTAATTGAACCTGGCACAAACACATGTCATAC